AACATATGTGGAGCACCAGCCTGCCCAAACCAAAACTGGTTTGTTTGCTAGGTACATCTAAGTCCGCATTCGTGTCACTTTTCCACGGCATCGTGCGCAGGAGCACTATAGAATAACAGATCCCAATTGTTCTGTTTACCAAAAACGAATCACAATCTCACCAGGATGACATGGGTATGGGCCAAAGGTTGTCAGCGCCGACAATGCCAAAATTGATGGTCCAGGGTCCGAAACAATCCTATACATGATGTCCAATGCCGTAGACATGACCCAGCGTGCGTGGGCCCAGTGGCACCTTAGTTTTGGTTTAAAGCGTGGAAACATAATATCGTTCTGATACCTCCTTGAGATGTAACGTGCAGCGTTTCTGTTGCAGGAAACGCGTTGTCTCACATTGGCAGGTTGCTGCCTTGAGGGGACAAATGTCGACAGTTCTCGACACCCTGGCTTCGACTTTGCAGGATGGGGCCGTTTATGACTGGTTCCATTCACATCACCAAGTCTAGCAGTCTAGCACTTTTTCGAAAAATCAACGTGCACTTCGTTGTTTATTTACGGGAACGCAGAAGCAAATGCCATGTTTATTCTGGACAGATCCAAAACAGTTTATGGCTGCAAAACCCATTGGTGTTGCCATCGCGCAAGACATTTGCAGGAGAAACCCTTGAAGACGGAGTCTGAGGTGCATGCTGCTGTTGCAGGGCCGGGCCCCACAGCTCAGCACACGTTGATATTTGGGGGCTCACGTCATGGGTCACAGCCTTGGGACACGACTGTGGCTGGACGAGATTGGCAAGTTCATTCCCAGTTGTGTCACGTAATTGCTCCTTAATAATCCAAGTGAAAAACACGTGTTTATTTGTTTTTTTTTGACGCCAAAGAAAACTAGCAACTAAACGCATTCTGGCTGGTGGATTGAAACCTTCATATATGGGAGATAGTCCTTCCCATTGACTTTCATATGTTTCAAGATGGTTATTGCACCACCAACCAGTAACGTTGAGATTTTGCAGGAGGGTTTCCTTCCATTATCGATCCGCCCCAGGTTGTCGGAGTTGTGCGAAACGACTTTGAAACATTGCCAAGAGACAGCAGGCCATCCTTTTTTGTTTGATGATGGGGATGGATCAGAACATGTGAAAGCTTAAAACCTTTGTTTTTACATAAAAAAAAACTGTGAGGATTGAACTCACACGAAATCCCACTTAATCATATAGGTTTTCACAAGGGCACCATGGTTTTGATCCATAGCCAAGTGCATCTGGCTTTGGGGCTCATAATGATATCATGCAATGTGAATCTGTTTCCACCGCATCACCACGACTGGATCATATGAGTGTAACCAAAGCACGTCAACCTTGATTTTGCAGTGATAATTTGGGCAAATTTCGGCAAAGTATATCGAAGTAACTCGCGTTATCCCAATGGGCCAGCTAGAGGTACGCTGTTTTAGGCCCATTCTTGCTTGCCATCAGTCTAAAACAGAGTCCGTACAGATGTAGAAACATAGCCTCAGCAGTATCAAAATATTTGTCTCACTCACGGTTCGGCAATCAAATATAATAGAAAACCCCGCGCCGCGCCTATAGATTGTTTTTCAAATTAACACCGGGGTTCCCCAGGACCATGTTTTGCTTGTATGATCTTGCATGTATCCTATGTTGCAGTGAGATAAAGATACCTTATTTGCATAGCCCACCACCGGTTGTCTAGGTGCACAAGCAGCAGTGGCTGCTAAACTGGCAGAACTGCAAGAGGTGCTGCGAGCACCCTGTGGAAACCGGGGGACTGGGTGCATTGTGTTATTTTGTGTTATTGCTTGATTATCTGGTGGTTTAGGTTCTTCTGGTGGTTTGGGTTCTTCATTATTCCCGCGCATGCCTCCGAATGATAATCCAGCTCATAGCAGCGTCCTGGCACCAACCCAAAATACCAGCGAAACGCTGATGGGTTCTCGCTTCGCGAGGCTACTGGTGTAAACATCTTGGAGCAAACATGAAAGAGCATCTTGTCAATTTGTTTTCCATGGCGAGATGATTATGAGGGTGAAGGCATATGCTCAAGAGCCTTCCATCACGACGATCCTCCGATCATGCCTCGCCATCCTGTACGTTGATCTAGAAATCATTTTTGATTGTTTCGTGTTTCACCTTTCTTGGGGGTTAGTTCCAATTTTGTGGCCTGAACCCCGTTTAATCCTACTTATTATGAAGATACCACAATGACTTTGGCAACAAAATCCAACTGAAATCATGCGCGTGTCCCCCTTCATTGTTCTTCAATCTAGCTGGATCACATCATATAAGAGCATTTAGGAATTGTGGTTTATTTGTTTTTACCACTTGGGTTAACAATTTTGGATCCTTTGGATCCCGTATTTTTTCTCCTCGGTCGCAGGAGACCAGCGTGGTCGCTGCCGCCCTGCACCGTCTTCGTGGCATCTTCCAGGCTGCAGAGATGTGCTGCGTCGGAGAATCCGCTCCAAAGAAGCAGCCAACAACATCTGAGGATATCTGAAAATATGAATCTTTGAATGATTTTGAATGCGGGAATGGTCGAAATCAAGTGCTTTGAAAAGAAAAAATACGGTTTGGCTAACCAACTTGTCGGGACCTTGTCGGGATCCAAGCCATGTACGCATATCTGGGACGTTTGGAATATTTGTGGATGTTATTTGCGGATCACAGACAAGCCAACCAACCCTATTTTGGAAGATTCCGGGCATAGTTACAGGATGATATTGGAAGAAATCGGGGATGATATTCACCAAAAGTTTGAGGAAATTAGGTGAAGATCGTTGGAGAAGACGCCCAAAATTTGAAAACGTTGATGAATCATCAAAATGGATCAAAATGGTGGTTTGAGATAGTTTTACCTAATTGCACATTTGAGAAAATGGGATAATTATTGATGTACTGTATATGTATTTAGGGTTTGCTCTTGAGATATTAACTGGGCGGGCTTAGCAGCCGCAGATCGATGTCTTGACTTCACGGGTGGGAATGCCAAGAAACACACTTGCCCACGATTATGCATGCCAATGTACCCGCAGGCCTTTTTTTTGTGGACACTGCAGGTGAGGAGTGCAACCCAGAAGGTTAAAAAATCATCATCGACAAAATATGGGATATGGTTTAGCCCAGACTTTGATGAGTGATTGTCAACTTTAGGTTGCCATCCATGGGGATGTTTATTGCTGATAAGGAGTAAATCCAAGGCACTACATTGCACAATGATTCTCCGACTGTGCCTGGGTTGTTCCCAGGAATTGCACATAAACCAACCAATAATAAACCCAAGTATCAAATGATGTTTAGAACAAGAGGGGGGAAAATTACCATCTAAATTAAAATCAAATTGCTAATTGAACTGCGCTGAATTATTTCGAGCATATTTTTTGCTCCCATTTGAAGGGAGTGATGTGACCCTATGCAAGACCCGCTTTTTCAAGCACCCATGTGGCATGTATTGACATCTACAAGTTTAGCCAGGACAAGCTATAGAAACACAAAAGGTGCCAAACATGTCATAATAGCATTCAACAGTTTACAGTTTGTCTTGGGAAGGGGTCATTTACCTTCCTGAACAGTCCTTTGGTTAGTTCCATGAAGATGTTCCCAGACATGCAGCGTGGGAAACGAGTTGAAAACATGACTAAGTTGGAAAGCAACATCTTCTAAAAACCCACCTGGTTTGTGGGTCGAAATGTCCGTGTTTTAACATGTTTTGAGAACTATGTATGTATGATTATGTATGATTGTTGATGGGACGGAAGGCTCGGCCGCCACCAGTTAATAGTTAGGTAATTTTATTTTTTTCCTTCCAGATATAAATATATATATATATGTATATGTGTATATTATATATATACACACACATATATATATATATATATGTATATCGAGTTATCTGCTATTTGATTTCCGTGTTCCGTTTCAATATGTCACAAGGGTCACACATGTCTCAGGGAGACGTTGAGAATGCGATGAAGCAAATGATCAACGATGTTTCCACGGCGCTGGGGGGGGTCGCCATGTATGGTAGCCTCTGGTAACCGAAAATGGCAATGGACAACTGGTACTTTTCCCCGGGCGAGCATACATTTGCCAGGTAAATATTTGGTGGTTCACTGGGCATGAGGGTTTGACCCATATGCATTTTCCACAAAAATGCATACCATAACATAGCCTTTTTGCCATTGCCGTTTTGATGAAACCAGAAGGCAATGGAGGGCAGGGATGGTGGAGGGTCTAGATGCAGGCCTTCGGGGATTTCCTGTTAAGGACGGTTAACCATCCCAAGCAAGTTGGCGGATTGCCCATCACCCAAGATGGCCATGGTTTGTTGCACACCACGGCAGCTTTGGCAGTGCTGAACATCAAAAAAGTTTCGATCATGACGCTAGGATCAAAAAACCAGAATGTCCAAAGCTAGAACCTGAAAATAAGGACCCTTATTCCCACAGTATGTGCATGTGCTTTTGTCATAGGTACGCTTCAAATATGGAGCTTGGAATTTGTAAGATGCTCTCAATGGAGTGAAAGTGTTCGCTCTTAATTTAGTTTGACCAATCACCCCAGCATTTTGCGGCCCACCATCTCCCTTCGCGGAACAGCCTTTGGCTCGGAGGATGGCAGGAAACAGTGGAAAAAATGCAAAACGCGTGCCTAATTACATTATGTACGTTTTGGAAATTTATATAAGTAGCTGAAAAATACATTATGAATAGTGATTTGCCATACAATGCCATACACCAATCAATTTTGAAGATAGTTTCCATTCATTCCACCGGGATTCAGGTTATGAACCCACCGGCATCTCAGCCATTGAACAACATCTAGAATTATTGAAATAAATTGTTCGCGATATTTCACATCGCTCGCCCATTTGATGCCTGCCCTGGTTTAGGGATCAGGTTTATATGGATGAAACATGGTAAGATGGTAACGTGGTTTTGGGTGGATATGTAAGAAACTGAAACTGTTGCCATTTGTCGGCCATCATTACGGCTTGATCGACCAACATCAGCTATGGCACAGTGCTCTGGTGATGCATCAATGCTGTTGGCGTGACCAATGGCAAGGCGCAGCCGTCAGTGGCAAGTTTAATGTCACATCATCTGTGACATGCACAGCACTTCTTCTCACGCGTTTTCACATCATTTTACAGTACATCATGCCACATGCATGCGTGCACTGCAGCTTGCACACTTCAATTGATCCAAATTGGCTCGCAGGTTCAACTTGAATTGCGTTGCACACACATGTTGACCGCGGGTTGTTTGTTCCACAACGTAAAAAAATATGAGACGTGCACTGCATGTGTGCGCGTGGTCGAGATGCACATGATTAGTTTAATATGTAAGAAACAAACATCTATTTAGAAATCATCATGAGTGGAAATCTCATTCGAAACCAATAAAGTCAATAAAGAAACAGAAATTATGATCCAACATGCGTATTCACCGGCTGCTGGCAGGGCAGATCTGCTGGCGCAGCTAAGGGCGCACGACTTGCCGCAGGAGCGGGCCGGTTTGCCGCGAAGCTGCGAAGCCAGAGCCTTTCTGCATGGATATATAAGTTGTAGCCACAGGCGACATCACTACGAAGTCGCTAGTAATCATGGTTAGTAGAGTTGAGTAGGGCAACTATGCCAAAAAAATGCCCTTGTGTTCAGGTTGGTGAAAAATTGTATTGCATCCAAGGGAGGAACAACCAATTAGAACAATTGCAGACTTGAAAATGAAATGGCAAATGTCATGTTCAATGTTCAACACCATGAGACTTTTTCATTTTTTTGCATGGTTGTCTTCGTTGATTTGCAAAAGGTACTTGCGGTTTTTGTTTTCAGTGGCATTGTTTGTTGGGTATGGTGATCTCGTTGTTTTTTGTCCGAATTTGCCTGTGTTGCTTTCATGAAATACATAATAATTACCGGTTACCGTGCATATTGTTATTATATGTTTTTATACATTCGTTTTCAGTCATATTATTCTCATTTTTGTCAGTGAAGTTCCCACGAATTCCAATTTTTGCGTCCAGTGGGGGAGGAATGTCAAAACCCAGGAGGCTTGCGAGATTGCCTTGAAGCGCTTTGATGATGCAGATTCTGCCTTGGACCGGGTTTCTACTTCTGGGCCCTGAGTGGGGGTTGTATAACCATGGCACTGTGTAACTCCCATAAGTTGGGATATAACATGATATAACCTGCGCAACTATGGTTTGAGGGTTTAACAACCACTTTTACCTGAAACTGCGCCCCGAAGTGCCCGCGAGTATTTGATACCTTGTTTCAGGACCTTCCTTGGTTGGGCGTTTTTTTTCTAGCCGCTTTGGTGTTCACCAGGTTGCCAGTTTTTTTTGACCACTCCTGTTTTTTCAAACAGATTTCCGGAAAACCGCGGGCAAGCCCCAGCGGGCAATACAAGCCACAGTGGTTTCTATATTATGTTGTTGTTCTGCCTTGTTGATGATACTTTTCTTTAATTTTCCTTTGTGATCTTTGTGTGGCGGCTGAGAAACTATACCATGTTTGATGAACTCATGTGCCATGGCCAACATAATTCCAATCACACTGGGCATGCGACTCATGGTGACGTTCATGTCATACAGTTGACCATCGTCGACCCGAAACCATTGGAGGTGGATTTCCTTCACTACCCTCTGGCAATATCTTTTTTGCACGCACGCGTGCAAATTGAGGATGTACATATTCACCGTGCAAATTGAGGATGTACATATTCACACGCATGCACGCACACACATGTACGCGTGCGTTTGTTTATGTTCAGATTGTTCGAACCAATTGCCAATAATATATTCCATATTTATTCTGCGCTACGTTCTTTAAAATAGACAGGTAGGTGTCTTATGTGTAAACACATGCTTAACAACAGAAACACGATGCACGTCCCTTGTATTCGAGGACTTTCTTTTGGACTCAGATGAGGGGCAGGGACTCTGTGCACAGGTCGCTGCCGGTGAAGCAGAATGGTCGAAAATGGTCAGTTTATTGGGGATTCAACCAAACCAACATGGGACCAATAACAACTGGTGATATTTTTGGATGATATCATGGAGATTCAACCCGCCCCATAAACGGATATGAATGGTGATTTATCAAACAAAGTCGTGGGATGTTAAATTCAAAACAATGGGCAGACCATGGAATAGAATGGGACCAACCAGCGATTTTGATGATAAAGTGGGGACATCATGAGATTTTAATAGTATATACCCTCTGGTAATTTAACGTAGCTATTGAACATGGTCATTTATAGTTGATTTGCCCATTAAGAATAGTGATTTTCCATACTTTGGGGACAGTCTTCAGAAGGTAATTTTGTTGGATTATGGTCTATGATGATGCAATGGAAATAAAAGGGGAAACAGGGATTCAACCAGGCCGCTCCAACGGAGACCCCCGCAATCATAGCTGGTCAACAGCCCCTTAAAGTTTGAGGCGTGGTTGTTGGTGTTGGTAACCCCTTAATGATTTCTCATTTTGCTGGTGGTCATCTTTCAACCGCTGGGTGAATATTTGAATCTCCTAGACAAATGCGTTCGGAATTGCTTGATTTAAACGTACAGGACACATCAGGACAGAGTTTTTCAAGAAAAAACATCCAAACAAGATGGTTTTCTGCGACAGTTTTTTGAGGATGTGTTTTCCCCTAATGGTTTGCAGGACCTCTGGTGCCCTATGAGGATGATATGTTGATATGCGCAACAAAATACCTGACTGACCTGGAGCCATCACATGATCCTGCTATCATTAATCATTAACCCACCACTGAAATCCAAGTTTTTAGATCTTCTTTGTTGAATGAAATCACTTTTGCTTGTTGCACTTTTCGTTACCATGGAGGGATTTTACCGTCCACCTCCACCGCCTCCTCCAGCACCACCCAGTGCAGGTAGAAAGGCAACTATCGGGGCAAATCGGCAACTTCTTCCATGCATCGAGAGCACTCAAACCAAATGCATTGTCTATTCGACAACCGACTAGGGGAGCGCCAACTACATTACAACAGGGTCCTGATCAGGACATGACCCTTGCAGTGACCGATCCTGATGATTGCTTTGACATGCTTAAGGCGGTCGTGGTCATGTTGATCTCCTATGCACCAGGAGCAATCACAGGGGGTGTTGTCCCAAGGTCCCCAGACGATGTGGATGTGGCTACAATGGTCGAAACGGCCGACAAGTCCACCAAATCACTGGAGATCACACGTGTTCTCCTGGCTTTGGGGATTGATGCATTCACCCTAACGGGGTTTGGACAATTGTGCGCCACCAGTGTAAGAACAAAGCGAGTCACAACAGCCGAATTGGACAAGATCCGGCCCCGACGGCGACCCACCCCCGCTCAGCATCTTGCTGGAACACTCCCCGGACCCCCCCGGGGACACATTGGTTTGTTGGGTTCACGTGTTGTTTCTCAACCATTGACACATGCCATTATCAAAGCAGAAAACATCACTGCAAAACAGGAACAAAACAAATGACAAGCCGATCCACTTCCCGGGTGGTTAGCGTAGCTATAGACAATCACCCATATTTTAATGGGTAAACCACAATAATTCATCCAAAAATGATCAAACATGAAAGATTTCCCATAGCTGTGTTCACTAACGACAGGGTAATTTCAATTGAACACATTTTGGGCCCGTCATCACCGGACCAGTGGCGTCAGCTTTTCCGCCAGGCCTCTCTACATCAGTGCGTCTCTGAGGTGGAAGGTCGGACGTTGCCACCCTGGGGATGGTCTCTACATGCCGTGGGGATCAACATGGTGGCCCTGGCAAAATCGAACCATCAAAAATAGAATGGTTGATTAGTTATTCTAGGGATTTTACTACATACTACTGGGATTCTTAAGGGATGATTATAATCCATAGTAGCGGAAACCTTTCAGCCAACTATAGTACAATGAGATGGGATAAAGGTATTTTTAATGGTTCAGTTGGTGAGAATGGAATGAAACCGGATAGAATTAAGGATGGAACAGATGTAACCGATGTATATCACAAAACCACAGAGGAGATGGAGAGAGAACGAGATCAGGTCAAAGGAAAGGCAACCGCACAGGACTTGCACGTTCAGGAGACTTGTTGCCCAGGCTCAAACCTCGATCTGGTGGCCTTTGCGGGGCACTCCTCAAACCCCTGCAAATTGACTTCTATGTCTTCACGCTCGAACTCATGTTCCTTGTGGCATATCAAAGCATTACGTCGGCGTTCCAAGCCTCCACAAAATTTGGTGTGTTGAGGATCTTGCCGTTTCTGACTGCAGCCAACGACATCTTGGCTATTCTCGGCGCCACGGCGAGCTTGTGCATCGAGGAATCTCTGATCACATGCGAGTTGGTTGCCAATGACAGAGATGGTTCAAGTTTCACGTGTTTGTTGCACATGTTTTGCATGTTTCACATGCAACTTTTGGCCCCAAGCAACAAAGATTTTGGGATATGAGCAGGTTCAGGCGGATATAAAATGATGTAAGAAACAAAGATCAGCAATGATCAGCCTCCATGATGTGTTTGTCGAGTTGATAAGCATGCAGGCCTAGGGCCATTATAGTACACCCTTGCAACCTCAGAGATGGATCCCCAAAGAATGGTTTTGGGTTCGGACTAGATGATGTTTCTGTTAGATATGACTTCTTCCTAAATTCAGGCAGGATAGGACTTGGAATGATGGACATCTTGATCTGGAGGACCGAGACTCCTCGCAGCCAAATTTGCGTTTATTTGGCATACATTGAGTGCTGGCTAGAGTGGCACACTAATTACATACAGGATGTTTGGTGATTGGTGGTAGGAGGTGGGCAGCGGACGTGCAAGTGGAAATCTTTGGAAACATCAGTATCAATCGATGATTATCCAGCGAGTTACATCACTTGCATGCATTGCGCCGGTCGAAATGAAAATCAGTCAAGGTTAGTAGTTAGTAGGACCACTCTATACCTAGTGGTTAGGGTTGGCGGCGTTTGGAATCCCGGCAGTCCTTTCATGAAAGGGAGTCTTATTTTGTCTGACGTGTACCATCACTATTTTTGTGGAAGGACATTATTATTATTGTCCCTAACATTCATTATAAGGAGAAAGGTCTGGAAAACACTCAACACCAATATCCCCAAGAACCACAAACCCAATGCCCCATCCATCACCATCCGCTGCCACAGGCGCCCTGCAGCGTCAGAGCCAGCTGCAGCAGCTGCTGCAGCAGAGAGCCTCGGTGAATGAGGCCTTGCGACATAGCACCTTGGTTGTTTAACAGTTTTACCCTTGGAACTTGGTGATTTAACCAGCTAGAAGTAAGGTTTGAGCATTGAACATACTTGAGGTTTAATGATCAAATTACTAGTTTTTGTTTGGGGGGTTGTTTTATCATTGACAACGGGGGTGTCAACCATCAAACTGTGGGAAAAATGGATGAACGTACACTAGGTACATATCTTTGGAAGTGTGGAAACCTTTTCGAGCGTACTGGCTCGCGTGTAATTCAGCCAAACGCTTTGATAATGCTTTTTGTTATCATCCAGAGCTTATCTACAATTAATGATCCCCCCGCAAAAAAAAATGCACATTTTTCCTGGATGGTATACAGATAATTCTATCCTCATAATTTCAGGAGGTTCGAGTTTTTCTGTTTGTTTGGGGTTGCTATATATGATGTAAAGATGCCATCCAAAAGTTTGTACAGATATCATATGATATCATCCGTTGTTCCTGATGATTCCCATCCTCCGTAAATGGCACACCACCATCCGAAACAACAATGAACGCCCGATGCGTGAACACCAGATGTCCAAAGAAAAACTGTGTGTCGATCCAGGTCCAGGTTCAATAAAGATGGGGAGGGTGGTGGTCAAGTCAACCTCAACGCGCATCTATCATCGGGATAACGTAATACCAAACGGCCAAGCAACAGTTCAAAAATGGAGTGACGCATATTTGTAGGTGTTATTTCTGGACACCTGGGTTATCATAAGCAACCTAAAACTGCTGGAAATGTGTTTTTGGAACTGGTGATAGAACCGATCACACTGGGAGGAACTGCTTGGTAAGCTTTGTAAAAGCTAAATCAAATGGGGCACTAAGACAACTTCCCAACTAACTGATTGGGTGGTATAAATCGCGTAAACATGGGTATATTCCACCTATAACTGGGTTGTAGCTATTGAATATGATATCCTTCACTGACCATGCAAATTGTTAACCATGATTATATGGTAAATAGGCCCCATCATCAACTCTCTCATATGTTTGCATCATTGCATAAAACTGGATCTGGCGATCAGTCCCACGTGTTCATTGGATTGGTTTCTCTTCAAATCTACTATTAACCATTGTTTTTTTACCATCAAACATAGAGGAGGTTACCGTGCCAATCCAATGGTTTTTACGGAATGAGGAGGTTTGCGACATTCAGGCCACCCAGAAAAAATCAACAATTTGAATATGATTTTCAAAAACAATATTAAATATATTAATTAAAAAAATGAAAGTCCCATTGGATTTTTGGAAACCTCCAATGCCATGGTCATCATACCCTGCCGCACTGCCTTCCACGAGGTCATGGCGATTCGCCGCTGATGCTGGCAGTGCGCGCTGCAGGCGTGCTGGCGATGTCTAGAGAACGGTAGAATGGAATGGAACAGAATGGAACAGAATGGAACAGAATAGAATGGTGGATGGATGGATACATATAGACAGGTAGATAGGTAGATAGGTAGATAGATAGACAGGTAGATACATAAATGGATACACAGTTACACAGACAAACAGATAGATAATGCAGGCAGATAGATTGATAGATAGGTAGAGAGAAAGATTGATAGAATATTTTATTTTTATATATTCATATATATATATATTTATTTATTTATTTACATATATATATATATACAGATTTATATGTGTATAATAGTTTATCTTAGCTTGAATATACATGCCCTAGGGAGAAGCGTCATAGATGTGGAACACCTGTGGTTTCCCTGGGAAAATGATCTACAAATGGCATGTGACTATATTAGATATATTTACTTAAATATTTACATATTCAGTTGATTGTGTATATATATATACACATATGATACTTGCTTGAGTCTCTCTACAGGCATACATTATGGACTGTAGAGATATATGCCCATATATATGTACATATTTTCACATTAAATGATTGCATATATACATATACATCTATCATAGCTTGGCTATAGGTAACATCACTTGGAATACCTCCTTTTATAAATAGGATTATATTAAATGGCTTGCATGTGGCTTATAAACCATTTACTAACATGGCTCTATATATTTATATATATATATATATAATATATAAATAGTACACGAATATCCCTATTACCCCATAGAATATCCCATAGAATATCCCACAATATCCCCTGTTATATATTGCAGGTTAAACCCGAAGTGGCGAGGCAACACCCAGCTGCCGCAGCGTCTGCTCTTGGTTCACGAGTTGCTGCTGCTCCGTGCCACGCCCAATGCGGCGGACCAGGAGGGCGAGACCACGCTGATGGAGGCACCGGTGTCCGGTGTCCCGTTGAACGGGACGTTGAGTGCTGTCAAAATGGTGCTTTCAACGTGGTTTAACTTTAAAAAGACAAAGGGATTTGAAGGGATTTGAAGGGTTTCACGGTATTTTATCAAGATTTTATTGGAGGTACAGGGATATGATATGGATATCATTGGGATACAACGGAGATATAATTAGGATCCAATTGTAGTATGATAATCCTTGAGTCCATCCTTAAGGCAAAACATGCCACATGTTTACAAACTATAGGTCCGATTAAACTGGGAATGTATCAAACATGAAATTTGAGGATCAGCAACTATACAGGATTTAGCCACGTCAAAATGGGGATTGGATGATTCCGGGGTCCCTAATTTAGCTGGTGCACGCTTGAAAGTGGCTCAGTGTTGTACATTTGGGGCTGGCAAGACCATCATTTTTTCCACCGCATAAATTCCCATAATTTGGTGGTGTCTTGAAATGGGGATCACCAAAACCATGGGTTTGTCTCAATATTAAAAAATTGCCTAATGACTTGGATATGACTTGGATATGTCTTGGATATGACTTGGATATGACTTGGATGATTTGGGGTACCCCCCAATGTGTGAAATCTCCATCTTTTCTTACGAAAAACACCCGCTGATCACTGCGATGCCATGCAGGCCGTCTGTATGGGTGATGTCGCCTTGTGCCGTCTCTTGTTGGATGCCCGCGCTGATGTGGCGCAACGCAGCCGTGCCGGGTCAACGGCACAGGCAGAAGATGACGGTTATGGCTATGGCGTCAAGACCTATATGGAAAACTGTTTGTTTTTAGATGATTTTCACATGGAAATTCCCACTTGGTTTATCGAACAAGTCCCATTGATCTTTGATTACTAGAGTGTATCTCATATGATTTGGATTGATTTGGCGCATCCTATCATTGAACAACTGCGTTTTTTTTCGTAGAGCAAACTGTCAGATTACCAGAGGGTAGGCAACATAATAGGGCAGATTTAACAGTCAGACGTGTCAAACATTGAGAGTTAGCATGATGTAGCCAACGAAGAATAGGTGTGCGTGTGTGTGTGTGCTTATTTTTTCAGGATTTCACCAGCAAAGTTATGGGGATATAGAATGGCATAGAACCAGCCGCAAATTTAACGTGAGGATATACTTGCGTTGGGCTGTAACACAGTGAAAAAAAATCTTGCTTTTTGGATACCAAAAGCCCGGACAATTCCACTGCCACCGATGTGATGCTGGAGGGTTTCAAAGGGAACCTTGACAAGGTGTCTCAGGTGCCTGGGGCGGCAATATGGAGATTACCGCACTTGCGGCAACCCTTAACCGACCCATCACGGTCATGCGGGGCAGTTTTACACCTTTAATCTTGCAGGATGATACTCCGATCTTTTGGCTCTACTGCATGCTTGACATTGGCCACTACGAGGCCTTAGATTCCAAGGATATGTCTATAGCTGGCCGGGCAAGAGCGACAGTGGGCCAGCTCAAAGGCGGCCGCAATGGTGGCGGTTCCAAGCGGAAACCGGAAGGTTCACTCGTTGGAGAAACTAAGTGTTTGAGACTTTCACGTCCAACGTTGGACGCTTTGTCCAAACAAGATTTTAACGTTTTTCATGTGGTGCTAACATCGAGACCCCCTCTCTGGTGCGAGAAAGGAAAAGTTGAAGTTTCTTTGGGAGGAAAAACTAGGTTGGCGGGACCTTCCCTAGGAGGCTGCACGCAGAAAAGTGCGGGTGGAACTCGTGCTGGTGGTTCAGTTCCGGCTACTCTCGGTGGTTTCACTCGTCGATCTTTGGTTTTGAAATCCCGTGGAATCACCCACTAATCCTTGCTTTATTAATGTGTGTTTGAATGTGTGTGTGTGTGGTGTATCTTCAATTTTTCGGCAAGCTCAAGTGGTGGTTGCTTGGGCCCGCTTTCTTTTCCAATGACTACCATATATGACAATAATTATACAGAATTTTACAGAAATTGACAGTGTTCATATAATTGAACACGGGGATGGCATTGCTGATTTCACCAACACAACCCTCAACGTCTTCAACTGGGCAGCAAGGGAGAAGTTAGCAAAGGTGGCCGATATCCGATATGGACAGGCATAATCTGCGTTGTTTCGGCGCGTCTACAGCATCTTTGTTGATGGGGAAGTGTCCAGGCAGAAGGCAATTAAAGGCAATGGGAATGTAGCTGAAAGGGTTCCATATTCATGGATATTTGGCACATTTTTTTCTCAGAATGATGGACCTATTTACCGCAAAGGGGTGTTGAGCTGGTAAATGGAGGCAGATTCCAACCATTTCATGTAGATCTCACCCCATATCGTGGTAAAGAAAGAAATACTCTCTAGGTCGCGACCCTAATAGGTAAGGGTGACTACCTACGGCTCATTAAGGCGCAACTCACGGTTGTGTCACGGCTGTGTGCCATGGTCAAAAGATGGTAAGTTGTTTTGTCCGGTGAAAGGGAATGGTCATCCACCCAGGAAGTATGACCAATGATTAATGTAATGTAGCCATACTTGGGGGTTGAGGTTATTATTGGGTATAACGGTATAACCATGCATGGCCCCCTGATCTCCTGAGATGGTGATGGAGAGAGAGATGCATGGCCCCCGTGGGTTGGGATGTGGCTGCCCCTGTCATTAAGGGTTATAACATGTATAACATGTTATAACCTCGACTGCGCCCCAGACGTGGTAAGGCATGACCATGACCCCAATATGGTTGTCAACTTGCTACAACCAAACACCAGAAATATCCGCAAATAACAAGTGAAACTCCACCAAAACACGTGAAAAATGTACAATTTCCGGGCACAGCAGAAATTATCCGGAATCCACTTTTATCCATCGATACTTGGGTACTTTCAATGAGTCATCCAAAATTCCCCAGTCGAGCCTTGTAGGCCCTAGCGGTTGATGGTGTCAAAGGGTGGACTGGGCACTGCTTGCCACAGGACTTCTGCAGCAATGTGGAAGTTTCACAGCTGATTGCACGATGGACGCAGGTCTGGTCGGATCTATGCGGGGTGTGGTGGAAGATACCCTCTGGTAAACTTACAAAAAGCTATGGAACATCACCCTTTTCAATAGGAAAACCCACTCTAAATGGCAATTTTCAACAGCTATGTTAGTTTACCAGAGGGTAGGTTTGAGTCGATTTCAACTGTAGTTTGGCTTCAAGCCTGAGGCTTCAGTAGACTTATTTTTGTTGCAGTTTTCGGTAGCACAGCAGCCTCGTTGGAGCCAAAGCATTTGTAGTTGGATATGTTTGGATGTAACATATGGATGCATGTTGGGTCCTGTACAGGCGGGCACCTCCAGAATTAGTAATGTCTTGTGGGATCTTTGTCTCAGTAGGAAAACCAGGGAACGCAAGCCCTAGTTTGACACTTTTGTATTATCCTTTGTGCTGACAATGTTCCTATCGTTTTGTCCGTTCTTCCCATTTCCAAGTTCCAATGTGATTACTTTTAGCCTTCCCAAACTTTTCCAAGATGATTTTCACTAGCCACATGTTTTTTGCTTTAGACAGCCCAACATTAGCATGAAGCACGGACGTCCCCCAAACAGCTTGAGACACTAGAAGCCATCATGAACGCTTTGTTTCAGTTACTATTATTAGGGTACAGCTGCTTGAAGTGCTGCCTACAGGTGTTTTACGATGTACTATCGCATGTGAACGGCCTGTATCAACACTATCAACACACAAAGAGGATCAAAGAGGTATCAAAGAGAATCATTATAAACGAAAAACAGCATATTTTGAGACCTGGCTGGAACATCTTTCGTTTGGGATCTCTTTCACGTTCAGGCGAGCGAACCTACCAGCGAGCCCACTCAAGGGCCACAAATTTTCGCAATGGATGCGGATGATTCTCCAAGGCGTGGCTCTGGGGACCGTTCCAGGTCTAGTTGCTTGCGGCCAACAAAGGGGTGCGTCAATATTGGCAGGTTTTTTGTCCGATGCCAGTGGTTTCCGTTTGCTACGTGCATGATTTTCTTTTGTGGATTAGACTTGCCTGGGTTCCCCACTGCTGGTTGAAGCCATGTGATATCATGTGATCTTCAATATCTTCAATATTTATAAACCTCTCCCCCTAGTATTATGCACCCCAGTAGGTACACCGGTTTACTTGTAGATTTGTTCATTCTGGGCCCCTTACCAGCGGTACTGAATCTTGAATTGGTTCGCCCATGTTTTACAACGATTTTGACGTAAAAGCTTCTAATTTTATTGAAAAAATACGGTGTGGTATTAAATTACATAGAACTAAATATGTAAATACGCCCATTGGCTCGTTGTTAAGTATACACCACGATGGCCAGATGCCCCGGCTGTTTCCAGGGCAAGTGATGAGGAGCGATCCGAGAAGGAACGTTTGGGTAGCTTGATTTTTTTGTTTGCATACCCTTTGGTAAAACGAATGCAATTAGCCATGGAAAATGGTCCGTTTAAAGATGCTTGACCTGTTAAAAAGGGTGATTTCCCGTAGCTATGTTACCAGAGGGCAAATGGTATACGATGCCAAGTGTTTCTGTTTTCCTCCACGGACGGGATGGTGGGTCTTCAAGCGTTGTTTTCGAGGGGTCCATGCATATGGTTTTGAAGAGACGGGGAACTTCAAAACATACCTACCTGTATTGAAGAAAGGCCATACTTGGATGTACCCCAGTTTGCAACTGCTTTGTAACCGTTGGTATTCCCCGCTGATGTAATCCCAGTCGGGAGACCAACAACGTTGGCGAGCCATTGCATTGTGCTGCGCTTCAGCGTGGTATTACCATGTATCATCAGTATTGAGGAGGAACATGTTCAGTTCATCAAAAATTGGACACATGATATCCTACAATTACCTTCTGGTCATTTGTTCCATATATAATTGATTTACTTATGAAAGATGGTGATTTTCCAGTTCGCAAACTTGTTAGTTTACCAGAGGGTAATCATGTTATCGGATTTGGCTTCTGCAGCTAGCCCAGATCCTCGTGCTCATCTCGCGGATCTGTCTTGGTTGTGTCCCTTGATAGCTTAGGTTACCCCATTGGATTATCGCGGCCATGATGCCCTAGAAGCTAAAGCCTTGGAGTTTATAAGCCACCATCACCCGCTGCAGGAAGGAAGCTCCCCTTTCAACGCTTTGTTGGTCACCCGCTTCATCCAGATACTGGCTGGATGCCATCATTGAGCCATTTTTGATTTCGGATGTAACTTGCTAATTCTGAATCCCCCAGTACTGTACCCAGTGAGTGGCTTGAATGCATCAAAAAATCGTTCATAAATCATGATAATTTAACACTTGGCCAAGTTCCAAGTATACACAGGCCCCTTCTTGTCCGGGCCGGCCAGGATGCCCAGGAGGACCAGAACGGTCAGGACGGCCACGAAGACCACAACGGCCAGAACGTCCAGGACGACCAGAACGGTCAGGACGGCCACGAAGAGGAGCTGTTGCGACTGGCGCAAGATGAAGGCGTGTGAGAAAAGATGGGCACGCGCACAAAATCAAAAAGATTTATGTAGATAAGAAGATATAAGAAAATATAAGAAGTATTATACGTGAGTTTTTCCTCATCCTGTCACATAATGTCACATATATATATAGAGATATAAATTATACATGTGTGTGTGGGCACATGTGTATCTACAGAGGTGTGCCAAAAACATCCAGAAACATACATGAGGATGAACACATTAAAAATGGTCGCGAAAAATCAGATGGCCCGACACATTGGGTCTGGCATCGGACTGGGCAATGGGCGACAAGCTAACAGCCAATCCCCCAATTCTGCTTCGATGGTGTACCTGAGAACGCTGACGCGTTGCCGTTTGGAGCCATGCTTTCCTTTAACCTAACCTACCGGCATTTGGAAATCCACACTTTATGGATCTATATGGCAGAAATGTTCATGTTTAATGCAACATGGTTAGTGAAATCAGTTTCAAACCACCATGTGGTTTCGTAACATATAACATAGACATAGACTCTTTTTCCCGGCAGAATGCATGTTTGTTTGCACCCACACCAGTCTAGCCTTTGTTTTCCCAAAGAGAGGTCCCATGTCAGCCACCTTGCAGTGGGGATCCAGCCCCATTGTGGTGACCCCCCGAAACAAGTTTTGGGCTTTTGAAGAGGGCAAAACTTAACCGGCTATCATTGTGGTTCCATTAAGGTTATATCATATCCCATTATCATCATAACACACCGGGTTCTTCAAAAATAAACAGCCATCTAGCATTTCCACGCTATGGTTCCCAACTTCTCCCCCGTACCCACAACTTCAAAGTTGTAATCCAAACTTGCTGACGTAGGCCTTCAGAAAAAAAGAAAACATTTTTGTTGGCAGTTCGAACTCTCACACCTTCATCATCGAGGCTACGCGTGGGAGACTTTGAGCAGTCACAAGTGACACTGTGTCGGAAGGCTCTTTTTTTGAAGACCCCGGTAGCATAACCCCATCATAACTCCGTTACATGCCCACTATATTCACATTGATCTTCACGAAATCCCCATTGTTGCTGGTTAACTCCATTTTATTCCATGATATATTTACATATATTTACGGTGTATGTATATAAATAAATAAATATAAATTTAAATATATATATATATACCATTATTCTTGAGGGTATACCCCCGGTAACATTGTTGGTTCATGTTAAATTCAACGCACGTTTAGTGCGTTCAATCCCGATCTCATCGGAGGCACGCAGCTGTCACTTTCCTCCCTGGCAGAGTTGCTCGAAACGAAAGTGGTCGATCCCAACTGCCACAACGCGGCACAGGAGCGCTGATGTTTGGATGGGGATGGGTCAAGTTACCGAGGGGAATCACCATCCATTAATTAACCAACTATGACTTAGGGCACCATCCGGGTCCCAGGGCTTTTGACTCATACTATACTCATATTGTTTTGGAGAGAAGGTTGGGTATCCTGAGGTGGCCACGTGCGGTTTTCACCAACAAATCCTCGATGCTTGAACTTCTTGCTTGCGAGTTGCAACGACATAGCACCGAAAAAGACCTCCCATGTCCTGTTTGTGAGAGTTTGGCTTTGGCAACTACCACCTGGTTATTTAAACAAATTAACATAGCAATGGAAAATTTCCATTTTTAATAGGTAAACCATCTATAAATGGGCCATTTCCCATGGCTATGTTAAATAACCAGAGGGTAACTATAACTAGATCAGAGCCCAGACCTTTTTTGTTTTTAAATTGTTAGGGTATCACGACCTGCTGACAGTCCAGAAAGGCTTGAGCTTCTTCGCAAATGATGTCTGCGCGTTGAATCAATAGCATCCAAGGTAGCATGCCCCATGTGTCCCCATGTTTGTTGATCAAATCCAAGGTTTTCTTGCTCAAGTTGGTTGTTTTGTGAATCAGTCAATGTCTTTGGTGATCAGACCCACTTTTTGGCGGGTGAAAATTAAATCCCCACGTTTAATGATTATTTTTTTGGGGGGGAGTTGTAGTTAACTTGTCATTGTTGATGATTAAATCAGATATTTATTGTTAAATTCTTATTTTTGTTCAGCTCTTGGCGTTAAGGCGATATGCACCCGGTCCAGGAAGCAGCTCTGCTGTTGGCGGTCCGATCGGCTGCAGCCAAAGGCATGGCTCAAGCCCTGAGAAAAGATGTCCGGAACGATAGGCAGTAGTGGTCGATAGTGGTTAATAGACTTTAAAAATTCAACTGGAAGTGAAGTTCCATGGTGGTTAATAGAATTTCACTGGAATTTAATTGGTCAGTAGTGGTTAATAATCCCTAAAAAATTCAACCCAAAAAGTTGATGAGGATGTTTTGTTTCAGACGTATCATTCCGACAGAGACTTACTCCTGATTGAAGCTGCTCATAGTTTACTCCTGGGGCGCAGTTGTGATCGCTGTTTCTGTCCATCCTGGCTTGGTGCTATCCATGGCTATCCGAATTATCTATGAACTGCCAAGGGATATCTCTGGGGTTTACTGAACGTGGTCCCTGAGCCGCAACAGTTCCCTGCCGAATTGTGGCTGTAGTGAGATGGTTCTTTTGAAGCGGATTTGCATAGAAAGTCAACTTGAGTTCTTGTGGGCCTGGGATCCTTAACCTTTTGCCACTGTTATTTCATCATTTTCATTTGATTATTACATGTTCTCAGCCACTTGATCCCACTTGCACAAACTCAATCCATCAATCGAACCGGTGCGTTGAATATTGCTCAGGTGTTGCCAGAAATAGCCACCTGTTGGTACATCCTCATACATCCCGATGAAAATGGATTATTACTTATCATCCATCTACTAGACACCTAGCAAATTCTGGCCCTTTTTTTCGTGATGTGCATGCTTCTTTGTGGCAGTGGTAGTCTGAAAAAGAGTGCCCCTCAATCCAGTTGTTTTGGAACATTCTAGAACGATGGCCATAACTGGGAGCTATCTCCCATTTTCAGCCAAGAGGCCAAGCCTTTTCCACTCCCAAAAAAAACGACGGCCAGAAAATCCGATGACAGGCCCAAACTCCAACGGTCAGCGCTTGGCCCTGGTGCGTTTGTTACTTCAGCACCTGGCGGATCCGACGCTTGATGTGGGCTGTTCACTGTTGGTTGATGGTGGCTTAACGGTCTAACCATGCAACCGCCCACCATCTGAAATAGTGACCAGCCACCACAGTCGATGATTTTTTTACAGAAACTATGTGAAACCATTGTATTCATTTCATGATTGGAAAATGTCCTCAAACATAGTGGCATTAAAGTAACTGGTTTGTTTTAATTTTCCATATATTGGGAATTTCATCATCCCAACTGACGAACTCATATTTTCCAGAGGGGTAGGCTCAACCACCAACCAGAAATAAACTGTAACTAGACGAGTCACTAAACATCAGTTTATCCAACAGAAAGTGTGGGTTACCCGACAAAATCCGAGAACTGAGGCCGAAAACAGCAACGTTCGCAACGTGTTTAAACGAAACGGACCCAGATGGCCATAGCCCATGGTCATGTTTCAACTCCGGTAAGTGAATTGTTGGAATAGATTATCTAGAGTTAAGTTTGTGAAGTTTGGTAGAGCCTATGATAGATAGATTTACATAGATATTAGATAGATAGCTGGGTCACAAACAAATCTTGTTTTTGCTGTAACATGTTTTGCCACTGCTTTTCCTGAATGTTCCATTGATAACCCGAAATTAAGGTGGAAATTAAGAAGATTTACTCCTGAAATTAAAGCGCTGGAAATCATGTTTGAATATGTTGGAAAGATGCTTTGAGATTCCAGAATATCAGCTATAGTTCCTCAACCTCCACATTAAAACAAATCACTGGAGTAAAATTGAAAAATCAATGGCATATTTTTGCTCGGGCTTATCATGACTTGCGGTGCTGATGGATTTTCAACGTCCATCTCAATTGTCCATTTGAAGCTTCCACTGAGTGTCGCCATCGGCTTCCCTTTTTTTTGGGGGGGTATTCTGATTTTTTAGCATATGTCCCACCACCCCTATTTGGTGGGACGATCCCGAATAACTCATACGTGGATTCCAGGGGGGGTGGCTCATGCCACCAACCAGCAATGGCTTCCAATGGCTTCCAGGAACATCCGAGATCAGCAAGGAGAAACTCCCTTGATGGAGGCCATGTAGTTGGAATATGTTGGAATGTCCAGTTGGCCATGTAGGGAGTTTCCAAGAAACTGATGGGTGGATGGCCACAAGATGTCCCGGGTTTATTATGTCATAGAAATAGATAGAGGTTACAGATGGCAACAGTACATTGTCTGTATACGCAGAACTCATGATGTTATTATTCATGATATGGTGGCATTCGTATATGCCTGTACATCCATGTGCGTATAGCTACTAATATAATATAGTTCTCGTTGTGCGCATGATCAACAATTTGTTACAAGTTCCACAAGTTCATGCCCTGAAATTTTTGGAACATAGCGGTTTCATCTATTTTAGATTAGGATTTTCCATGAAATAAACCATCCAGCGAGCTTGGGGTATCCCCATGACTATGGAAAATGGAACCCCCCCAAGTAGCCCGACATGCTTAATCCTGTGTCCCAGGCATCCTGTTTCGGAGATCTTCCTCAGTGCCTTTTGCTGCTGGAGTTTCGTGCATCTCTGACGATGACCAGCACCAGTGGTGCCACGGCGCGACTTGACAGCGATTTTCCACAGCTGGAGTGGTTAATTACTTTGAACATAGGATATAGGATATAGAATGATGGATATAATTAAACACTCCAGCATTTAATTCTATAAATATATATATATATATATCATCCTTTGAACATAGGTTAATTATATATATGATACAGCTGGAGTGGTTAAATACAGGATATAGAATGGATATAGGATGATATAGGATGATATAGGATGATATAGAAATGATGAGAGCTGCTGGCATTTCCTTAGGTAAAATGCATCGCATTTTTTTACTAATGTTTGGAATGATTTGGAATAGCTTGACCTCATCGGTTCAGGAAGTTACAACCTCCTGGTGCTACTTGACCTGTGCTCGGGGGTCATGTTGGAAATTACGTGGTAGCTACTTGGAGGATCATCCCACTTAGTAATAGGTTGATAACCCTGGTTCACAAGTCCCCTAACTGGCTTATAACATTTTATCACTGGGATATAAGCACGCTTACTATCCAGGCTGTACTACATGATACTACATGCATGACATGTTTCGGCCGAGTTTATGCGATATAACCCATAGGATCCATGTATGCTATATATGGTAACATTTACCATCAATATACCCCCAATGTTAGCATATATATATACCATACATGGATCCTATGGGTAATGATATAACCCTATAACCCTTAGTCCATGTCACGTTCGGAGTCTCCGAGCAGCATCGTCATGGTCTTTGAGGCTCCAATTCGCGCAGGACCATGACGATGTACGCAGGTTGATCGGTGCGGAGATGTGAGATGTGATGGTGAAAAGTTGGATCGGATTAACATCTTCATTAACCTCTGGTAATTTGTTACATAGCTGTTGAAAATTGCCTTTTTGAAATAGTATGAAATAGTTGATGAATCCCCACTAAAAAAATGATTTTCTACAGCTATGTTAGTTTACCAGATGGTAATTGAGGTGTTAAATATGGGCATATATTCCCAATATTCATATAGTATATGTATATGTGGTATGGACATCCCCCAATACTATGTGCCTATATTCTCAAGAGGATGTCCATTATGGATGACCATACCACATATACATAATCCTGGTTGCAATTTCCTCTACAGAATCGAGGGTGTTGGGACCCCAAAAACCTTCGATTCTGGAGAGCCAGTCTGAAACCCTACCGTGCTACAAAATCAAGGACCATGGGCTGGCAACCACCCAAGAACCACCAATTTTGATCATTTTTGGACTGTATCTTGGTAGGTCCCTGATTCTGTAGACATGTAAAGACAGGGGCCCCAACACTCAGCTGGGAGTGCACAAAACCTTACATTTTGGGTAAGGAACTGATTTTGGAGAAATAAGGCTGGTGATGTCCTAAGGTCTTTGATTTTGTAGTCAGAGCATGCTCATCAATGTCATACCTTCAGATCTTGATTCTGTAGTGGTGAGGGATGGTGAGAGGGAATGACCTTGATTCTGTAAAGGATGGGTCCCCTGAAACACCTGTTGCCCCATCATGTATGGGTTTTTGATTTTGTAGAGAGATGTCAGATGTAGAATGCAGGTTCTTGATTCTGTAGTAATATCATTTCCATAAGACCATTTTTCTTTAGATCTATCAGATCTTGATTCTGTAGTGGTGAGAGATATTTGGAGGGAACGACCTTGATTCTGTAGTGGGGTCATTTGGTTTCATATTGGGGTAGCCTGCCATGGGTGTTGATTTGCACGGTCTCGCCGTGATTTCCTTCATTCAGCTATCAGGGGTGTTGACACCCCAAAAACCTTCGATTCTGTAGAGCCATCCTGCACCCCTACTTTGCTACAAAATCAAAGACCATGGGCTGGCAAGCACCCAAAAACCATCCATTTTGGACATGTTTGGATTGTATCTTGGTAGGCCCATGATTCTGTAAATGGGGGTCCCAACGTTGAGCAGAAAGTGCACAAAACCTTACATTTTGGTCAAGGAACTGATTTCGTAGACATAATGCTGGCGACACCCTAAGGTCTTTTGATTTTCTAGTAAAGCATGCCCCTCAATGTCATATCTTCAGATCTTGATTGTGAGAGATGGTAAAAGGGAATGACCTTGATTCTGTAAAGGATAGTTCCCCGGAAACCCCTGTTGCCCAACATGTATGGGTTTTTGATTTTGTAGAGGGAGGTTAGATGTGAAAAATGCTGGTTAGTCTTCAATACCAGGGGTAGCCTTTGCAGTAGGAAAGGTTTACGTGGCAGCCAATCGTGGCCTTTACAAAATCATACACCAAGGTGTCACCCTCTACAAAATCAATCTCCAAGGGGGAACCACAGATTGGCCTCTACAAAATCAAGGTTCTATTTTATGAGCTCCAGGGTCCTGGGTTTTTGGAATTTTGAAGATGCCCCCGGCATTCCTGAGATTTTTGCCCTAAGAATCTTTAAGGGCCTACTTTTCGTGAGAACCCCTCAAAAGTTTATATATATATATATACTGGTAGGATTTCAGAATAAGGATTTTTGCTTGAGATTTTAGAGCCTGATTTTGTAGAGCAGATGTAGGGGGCCCACTTGTGAAAAGGTGAGACTTTGATTTTGTAGAGCGACCTATCTGAAGAAAACCTAGAAATTTTGATTTTGTAGAGAACATATGAGAAAAAGGCGGCAAAATCAAAAAGCAGACACTTGGCCTTGGGACTTTGGAGAAGCTTGTAGCTACAAAATGAAAGGCAGGTACTTGGGACTTTGGATGGGGCTTGTAAAACTTGTAAACATTCATGCTTCAAAATCAAAGACCAACAAAAAATCTCTACAGAATCGACTCCAAACAAAATCTCTATAGAATCAACGTGGACGTTTGATCTCAAAAAGTGATGATTTTTGATGCCTTCAAATGTGAGGTTCTTGATTTTGTAGCACGTATGAATCTGCCTAAAGAAATGATGCTACAAAATCAAAGGCAGGTCATTTTGGACATCTTGGACTGACTTGTAACATCTTGTAAAGGAACTCATGCTACAAAATCAAAGACTGGCCATTTTGGACATCTTGGACTGACTTGTAAAATCTTGTAAAGGAACTCATGCTACACTAGACGACGGATGGCCCGAGAGCGTAGAGGAGCAGAGTCTTCTGTTGTTAGTATGGAGACACTATATTACAAGATAATATGATAAAGATGTATTATATGCAGACGAGAAGAGTAGTATCAAGACAATATATGACTAGTACAAGACAATAGTTTGCATCGTATTTTTGTAAAGTTTTTCATACACAGAACTTTTTACAGACAGACGCTTTTGCACACAGAGACTTTTACACACAGACGCTTTTACACACAGACGATTTTGCACACAGAGACTTTTACACCCAAACACTTTTACACACAGAGACTTTTACACACAGACGATTTTGCATACAGAGACTTTTACACCCAAACACTTTTACACCCAAACACTTTTACACACAGAGACTTTTACACACAGACGATTTTGCATACAGAGACTTTTACACCCAAACACTTTTACACACAGACGCTTTTACACACAAACACTTTTACACACAAACACTTTTACACACAAACACTTTTACACACAGACGCTTTTACACACAGACGCTTTGACACACAGACGCTTTGACACACAGATGCTTTTACACACAGACGCTTTGACACACAGACGCTTTTACACACAGAGGCTTTTACACACAGAAGCTTTTACACACAGACGCTTTTACACACAGACGCTTTTACACACAGACGCTTTTACGCACAGACAAGTCCGGCACAAGTAAAATCGCAATTTTTCCTCAGTTTTTGACAATCGACCCTCATTTCGTGCGAAAGGGTTGCTCCGGGGGCAAGTAAAATCGCAATTTTTCCTCAGTTTTTGACAATCGACCCTCATTTCGTGCGAAAGGGTTGCTCGGGGGCAAGTAAAATCGCAATTTTTCCTCAGTTTTTGACGATCGACCCTCATTTCGTGCGAAAGGGTTGCTCCAGGACAAGTAAAAATTTTTGTCATTTTTTGACGATCGACCCTCATTTCGTGCGAAATGGTTGCTCCGGGGGCAAGTAAACTCGCAATTTTTCCTCAGTTTTTGACGATCGACCCTCATTTCGTGCGAAAGGGTTGCTCGGGGGCAAGTAAAATCGCAATTTTTCCTCAGTTTTTGACGCGATCGATCCTCATTTCGTGCGAAAGGGTTGCTCCGGCACAAGTAAAATCGCACTTTTACCTCAGTTTTTGCCGATCGACCCTCATTTCGTGCGAAAGCGTTGCTCCGGCACAAGTAAAATCGCAATTTTACCTCAGTTTTTGCCGATCGACCCTCATTTCGTGCG